AAAAGTGGAGAGAAAAGTAAAAAATGGGGGGTTATATAGGGTGTACACTCGGGTGTAACTAAGTGTACAAATAAAAAATCCATGACATTTTACTTTATTTTTTTAGGAAATTGTACTTGTGCTTCACTTTGGATTGAGTTTGAATGCTCTTACTCAATCCATTGTTACATTTTCATTAGCTTTCATACCATGGGAGTGAGAAGTCCAAAGAGGGCCTTATAATATAAAATTAGATTATAGTGGCTTAATAATAAGAAAAATTCTTGTTGTACATATAAATAGTACTTACACAACCATCTTAGTTGTCTATGTACACAGACAATTCGTTTGAAAAATAACAGGATTTTATGCCAAAATGCATGTGTACACAAACAATGTACAACTTGTGTACACATTTTGTGTACACCAAAAATTACTTTAATAATATTGTTATAAAAGCACTACATCAAATATAAAACAAATAATTAAATCTTTCCTATTTCCTATTCATATAGAACCTTATTGGTATAGGAATTATAAAAGAAGATGGTTTCTCAGAATGTCAACTCTCAAGACACTGAACAACACTGGACTGGTAGAAAGAATTATTTGGAAAATAATTTGCACGGATTTTGTTTACAAGTCTTGCGTGATCGAGCAACTAGTTATTACTTCATTTACTAACCACAAATTTTTACTGTAAACTGGTTCTTAAGGTCTCCTTTATTCCGTATTATAAAAGGGATTTCTTATAAAACTTTGATGAGATCCTCCTATTAGGTCAGTTTTTAGGATGAAACTTCATGTTTTAATATGACATGAAAGTCAATTAAGCTCCAATCAATTAGATTCTTGTAAGGTTTAATAATGAGCACACCAATTATAACTTTGGATCTTGTTGAAGTTTCACATAGGTAAAATTTGAAATAACAAAGTACTATATAACATCCTGAATTTCTCCTAGACTTATGTTGACATTTAGGATGGAACCCAGAACTTAACATATCTACTCCCAAATGCAACCAAAGACTTAATATTTGACCTCTTAGGATGAAACTCTAAGATTTAATGCTCATTTCTCTTAATTAAGCTCATTATTAGATCATGAATCTTTCCGTTCATGTCACTGTCTTGTGGCCGCGTGGTTAAGAGAGAAGTCTTTCTATAGTTTGGGTTGCAGTATTGTTGGTGAGCAGCTGACCAAGGAGTGGGTTATGATTTAGGACATGTTTTGACCCTAACTTTGAAACATATGGTAAAGTATAGGGTTAAAATTCTAATGTCATTAAAACTGTCCAATCCGTCGATGTCTCAATGACTTAGAGTATATGTAAATATATATGGATCATTTGATGTGTGGAGTGTCGACTCTTCATTAAATTTTCACATAAGAAAACATGTTCTTCCAGTGACAGTTTGAACTGATTTTATGAAAATCGAAGATCCTACATGTGCAATGGGAGACTCTTGGTGACTGCTATAATAACACGAGGAGGGAGCAAAAACGTTCACAAGAGGAGGAATGAAGAGTGACAAGAACTTATCAATGACAAGAACTTTTTTAGGTTGTTTGAGTTGCATATGCATGTAGAATTTCTGAGTTCTTGAAGATGAGTTATTTTAGAAATTTGGGGCATATAAAGTTGGACTAATTCAAACTATATAACAAATCATATGTCTATTTGTTTTGTGCATTTTACTATTTGTGTAATGTGATACAGAGTGATAATAAGATTGAATTACATTTCTAGCTATGTGACAAATCTAATGGAATGAGTATAGATTTGTTATTTTTAAAGGCTTCATTTCCTCTTAATGTGAAGAAGTACACTAGGAGCAAAAAAGAGATAAGAGAAACAATTGATGCTAGTAACCGGAAAGATTTCTTCAATGCTCTGTTGTTTTATTTTTAGTGGAAGAATAAGTGACGCATGAAGAAGTGGAGGAGACAGACCTGAGCAGAATAGGAATATAGATGAAATATTCAAACGACCAATGTCAAAACGCTACATTTATCAACTTTTTTCCATTTTGGCTATTTTGGATAAAAAGTCATGTGAAAAAGCCAACTAACCATATACTTCAATTAGTTGTTTAAAACTAATTGAACTATGCTTATATATCCCCTAACCATACACTTTGTGATTTGTTCAAAACTAAGTTGGCGTAGTTTTATTTAAGTGATATTACGACGTAATCATAAGAGGTTAATTGCAAGAAAAATGCCTTGTGTACACATTTTTGTACATTCGACTCTCTCACGCGCACACAGTTGTCTGCTCACAGACAACTCTATAGAATTGTCTGTGGTCAAACAACTCTGTGATCACAAATGTACAAAAGTGTACAAAAAAATGCGTACATCTAGCACAACCCTAATTACAATTTGATCATATATGATCATTTGTCACCAACGACTAGTGTGACTTTGTCATGGCCCAAGAATTCATTCATCACTAAAAGTCGACAACCGAAGGCATTTCATATACTCCGTATTACTAAGGCCGGTTAGTGATCCAAGTATTATGTAAGTCGGCCCAAATTTCAGACATGATATTTTTGATTTCCATGCCATTTACAATAAGAAGCAAGATAATCTGCAGAGAAAGTTTGAAAGGTTCAACGAATGCAATCTCTAAAGAATAGATATGTATACAAACCGGACAAGTATATACTTCCTCCGTTCTTAAATAAATGCAACGGTCAACATTTCATATTTGTCGAGACACAATTTTGACCATTAATATAAATGATTTTGTATTAGTACAAAAATTAAAAAATCAGATTATGAAAATTTACAATGAGACAAGTTTAACAATATTTTTTTATAAAATAATATTATTACATTACTAAATAAAACATAGTCAAAGTAGAACATGTGAATAGTGTAGAAGTCAAAGTGTTGCATTTATTTAAGAACGGATGTAGTATTACAAAAGAGAATGACACATCATCTCCCTAAATGCTCTCACGGCCTCCTCCCCCCCTCGCCCCCGCATTGATCACAAGGGTGTAAGTGTGTAACCAAATCAAAGCTTGGGTCGGTCAGTTTATTTTTTTCTTACAAATAAATTTTTACACATATATTTTACACTCGAAATTTAAAGAACTTTTTAATTTGGGGTGGGCCGGGACCCGGTTGACCACCCTCTACCTCCGCCCATGACCGGTTGGTTAACTAGAGGATACAAATAAGTATGACATTACCTAAGGCTTTCGCAGAAGCTTTCATTGCCTTACATTTCATTACGATGCAATATTTTCGATTCCATATTTGTCTCCTTTTCCTTTTACTTTAAATAAAACTCGTAAAAGCAGATTATTAAAAATGTTTTTAATTGGATTGAAATTTTTGAATCTGATATGAGTTGTTCTGATCTGATCTGTTATCAAGTACGGAGTATTTTATTTCAACTGTTACTCAGTTGGTTATTAATCTGATAAAATCAATTAAATTTACTGAGTTTCATCTTTAAAACATATCATATCATTACCTATTTGTAATATTTAAAAGTTCTGGTAATAGCAACATACACCGGACATTTATATTCAACATATCAACCACTATTCAACACAATTGTTAATCGCCAACTACAATTCTAACATCCACCTGTTTATATTATGATTCTCAATTTAAGTCTAAATCATAAAATCTTACCATGCCTATTACAAACTTTTCATACTACATACAGATCGTTTAATTGTGGAGAAATATGATACTACTTAATGTACATTTTTTAATTAATTCCTATATTTTTCGTTATTTGCAAATTATGCCCACTTACATGCATGCATGTTTCAATTCATATATTTTTCATTATTTGCAAATTATGCCCCCTCACAAGCATGTTTCAATTCTTATATATATTTCCAAAAGTATCACACGTCTAAAACAGTGTATATTGGAAGCAACCATGAAGGATCAAGGCAGGGTGAATCCATGAATTCGGAATACCCTAGACTGAAAAACAATTATATTAGACTTAAACATTAATGAGGTGGACTAAATATGAAAATTTAAAAAATTTACATTAAAAAAGTTGAAATATTTTTAAGCTACCCTAGGTTTCAGCCCACCATAGCTCATACATAGATCCTCTCTGGAGTGGATCAAGCAAGAGGCTTTGCCGCGCTAGTTACATATATCAATACATTTATATTTACATTTGTTAATTTGTACATTTTGAATAAGTTAAATGTTTAGGAATTAAACAAATTACCTGAATAGAAATAAAAAGGTTTTGCAATTTCAATATAAGAGTGATATGTTTTCTTATTTTCTAAATTAGAGTAATTACTATCAAACCAGGAAATGGTACCACTTATATATGTCAGTATACCATCATATAAGTCTGATAATATCAAAACATAACAATAAATTTTCAAGAGGATAGTAATATGCTACTATTTGAGGGAAACCGTAACAATCATATTTTGACATTCACATTTTTACTCCCATTTAAGAAATTTACCCAAGAAATTAATCAGTGTTTCATCCTCAATTAGTTAATGATCAGTTTTTCATCCTCAATTAGCAAGTACCGCATATGAATAAAATGTACATCTGGCCTGTTTCTACGTATATATAGGATGTTTTTACTTGGACTGTAATTTGTTGGTCTGGTCTGGTCAGGTCTGGTCTGGTTTCTTTGTATTTTTATAACTATCCAAGTCTGGTATGGTCTGATCTGGTCTGGTCTGGTCTGGTCTGGAAGGAATTACAGTCCAAGTAAAAACATCCATATTCGTAGAAGCTAGCAATAGAGGCTAAATCTCATTATTATACTAATAATAAATACCCCCTCTGGTCGTAAATAAACTTCACACTTTCCTTTTTGGGTAGTTCCAAAATAAACTTCACACTTTCCTTTTTGGGTAGTTCCAAAATATTCTTCTCTTCCTTATTTTGACAAATTATCTAATCAAAACAGTGCAAAATAGTGTCAATCAGTGTCACAACAGTGTACTCTACAGTAAAGTCAAATTTATTTCCTTAATTTGTGTGAAGTCAAAGTGTGAAATTTATTTAGGACCGAAGGAAGTAATAAGATAAAAATCCGTAAAGAAGAGTGAAACATATACCACATATATAAGTTTTGTAGGAGTTTATTTTCATTGCTTTCTTTCTTATATATAGAACTGAATTTTAGGAAGTTTTTATTATTACACTTTAATAGGAGAAAATAATATAGATCGAGAGCGGACATTTATTAAAATTCTCCAGCTTATGGGACCCCAATGTGCACTGTGTTGCCCCTTGAATAGGAGAAAATAAGTCTTATTTTGATAAAACATATGTACTTCTATTCTTTGCAATTTCTTTGAAGTAATAGATTGAATAGATAAACTTTTTCTCCCTTTATTAATAGATTGAATAGATAAACAAATGAAATTTACAATCTTAAATTTTCAGATAAAACTTTATTAATTTGCATGACCATTATATAATATCGGAAATGTAAAGTTCATTATTTTATATGATAAAGTACTTGACCATATGGCCAAATGAATAACGAAAACAGTGGAAATCAAACTTTAACCTTCCTTTTTGGACAATTGTAGTATACTGCAAGTAAATAACCAGATGATGGAATTAAACTTCCTTGACTGCCACGGCCACATCCACCTCACCATTATTAGCAAGTTTCTCCTTCTTCTGCTCCTCCTCGACCACAAAAGCTGAGATCGGGAACGTCCTCGATAACCCGGTCGTGCTCTTGAAGTGGATCTTCCCGGTGTCGGGCTCATCCGTGCAAATCTCATGGATAGTGAGCCATAACATGAGCTCCTTGGCCTTCACCCCGGTTAGCTTCTTGATCTTGCCGGGTTCAATGGTAGCCGTGACCTCGGTCGAGTACTGGACCGAGCGCCCGATCTGCTCGAACTTGTGATCGGTCTTCTTCTTGGACTTGAGCCACACGAAACCAGTGGGCTTAACGTAGCCACACTCTTCCATGTCCTGTATGGGGAGCAACCCATTTGGCAAGTTCATATCTTTGAGGAGGCACTTGGATTTCTCTTGGCAGAGGTCATTCCCTTCATAAAACTCTGTTGCGCTGGCTCTGATCTCACTTGTGATTAGGGACGACATTTTCTTGGAGCTTATGTTTCTTTTTTTGTCTCTTTCTTTGGTGTACAAATTTGGTGTGGAAGAATGAGTGGGGAAGTTGAGGTTTATATAGTTGGGGGATTGGTGCCTTAATTGGCACTTTGAGGCTTGCCATGGGTCCTCTACTCCTCTAAAGTCCTAACCATATCTCAAATGCCCCACAGCCGCAATATGTGTTGGAGTAATTTTGACCGATTCTCAAAAGGGAAAGTGATTCCTTATTGATATGATGATACAATTTTAATTTCCACTGATTGTAGCATTTTAATGATACATGATAATGAACTTTGATCATTGATATTTAGCAATATGAAATTATTTTAAATATGAAAATTACACCAAAAAGTTTCTTATTAAAAAAAATTTATGAACTATACGTACACCATTTTTCCAATTGAATTTTGTCAACTTTCCCTTTTTTATTGTCCCTAAAAACTCTGACACTTCCCATTTAAGTTACTACTTTGATGTTCAGCTCATTTCACCATCATCTACACAAACTTCAATCACACAATTTTTACTATTCTTATTTTTCACATAATTCAAAGACTGGAACTGAAAAGTCCATTGGAACGGAGGAAGTATATAAGTATTTTCACATTATTGACTAATAATAATAATCAATATGGCTAACTTTTTGGGATGGATGTAATAATGAACTTCATACGGCGATTAAGAGACCATTTCTTCTTATTATGATCTTATATTTGCTGTATGAATATATGATATGTAACAATGTGGTGCATATGAGAAATGGGATAGACAAAATTATAAATCTATGATTTTCTCTTTCTTTATTTATATGGTCTTATATGCTTGGGAAAAATTGACTTTATACTCCATGTTTAGAGAAATATTAAACTTTGGAGTCCATTTTCAAAATCATTAATGTGTATACTCCATCACCCCAAAAATTGTGAAGGAGTGGTGTGTAAAGTTAAATACTTTTATAGTGAAATATGTGCATACGTTAATGATTTTGAAAATAGCATCCAAAGTCAAATATCACTCAAAAATGGGGTACAAAGTAAAATTCTCCCTATATGTGTTTTAGGTAACATTTTCTAAATACTATCAACCACAATGTGTACATATAGATTTGCACTTGAAATCATGCAATTTCTTTTTACAAAAAGCAGATAAAACCGTGAAAATAAAGATTGATAAGTGCCATTATTTTTTGTGTGTATGTTTTTCATACCACATATTTGTTTTGAATTATATTGGTGATACTTAATGATTATATAACTACTCCATTTTTTTCTTCATATTTTGTTTTATTAGCAGTTTTCCGTTCTTTATTACTTATGACCTTAGATTTTAATTCAAATGAAGAAAATCATTACTCCGGAGTATTATGCAATAATTGCAATAGAGAAAGTATGAAGAGAAGGGTAAGTTGGAAATAGAAACATGGGTTGTCCGTGACTAATTTCAAATTTTAAAAAAAAATCCCGCCGGAGGTGAAAATGGGTTGGCCGGAACACTTTAGTCACGGACTAGGTTCGTCACTACCTATAGTCACGGACGTAGTCACGGACAAATCCGTGACTACTTTTTTTTAACGGTTCCGTGACTAAACCGTGATTAGAACCGTGACTAACTAGTCACGGACCAAATCCGTGACTACGGTCCGTGACTACAGGCAAATTTTTTTGTAGTGAAAGTTAACAACATTTGAGTGCAAAAGTCGAAACGTGAACATAAGTGTGAGATGGAGGTAGTATATGATGATTAAGTGCATATCTGTATATTATTATATTAAATACTTACATAGTACAATCTATTGAATTTGGAATTTATCTTAAAATATTATTGAAATAAAATATGTGAAAAAAATATGACAAAAAAGGAGTAACTGACCCATTCAAGCTGGAGATTTTTGGTTGCAGCTCAGTTTAATGCGCAAACTCCAAACCTAATTAAAAGATACGAAGTACGGAGTATATCGCAATGGTATTTTGGCACCCAACTTGCAATATTGTCTCACAAATGCAAATAGTTCGTATCCCAGTGGAGCCCATCTAGCCAACGGTACGGTGATCTTTTGTTTGTATTAGGTAGTGATCTATTGTTCCAAAGGCGGTAAAAGGTGGAGCCTAGGTGTGCCTAGGCGTGAGATGACGGAGAAATGTCTCACATCGTAGAAAGACGTGAAAAAGGCGATCAACTCAAGAATTGACCATCAAAGATGTGAAAAGGCATAAGCCTAACGTGCTTAGACGTGAAAAAGTGGAAGTTTTTTAGATGAAATATTTTTGGCAAAGAAAAATTTGATTAAATTTAAAAATAAAACACTTTTATAAATATGTTATATATCAAATCTAATACAGAGTAGTAAAAAACAACAATATATCATTTTATATTTGCACTTCTTATACATTTAAAAATTATAAATGTAGAAATTAGACTCAATCTTGTATAATATATTTTGGACATTTATTTTCTTCTTCATATATCACTATATATTACGGAGTAATAATTATCAATAGAAATCTCAAACGCATTTTCACGCCTAGACTCTGTCTATTCCCGCCTAGGCTTCAAATGCTTGAGGTTTGGTCTCGATGTCTTGCCACGCCTCACGCCTTTTAGAACAATGATATTAGGTAATGCTCTTGTTAAAGAATGAGGCCCTCATGTTGTTATCCCACATCATTATATTAAGATGTTGGGTTATCCTTTTATCAGGTTAACATTTTATAATGAAATCTCGAATCTTAATATGGTATCGAAGACAAATCGATCCATAATCATGAATAGGACCCCTATGAAAAATGACGACACAATTATATATATATAATTATTCAAAATGATAAATCGATGAAAAAATGAATGACGACAAGATCTAGACGAAGTGTCTGATCGTGAGGAGAGTGTTGTTATTTACAATACCTCACACCATTCTATTAAAATCTTGGGTTCCTCCTATCAGTTTGAAATTTTAGATTAAACCTCGGGTCTTAACACTTCAAGAATTCACCTTTAGAATTTGATGGTAAGCAAAATGATGCTCCCTTCGCAAATCAAATTCCCAGTCAGTTTATATGAAAATTGCATATTACCACAATTCAGTTTTTCTCTGCAATATAGTATAGTAAGTATTCACCCATTACATTTTTTAAATTAAATCATTATTTTTATTATCATACATCAATTTTTGCCAATATTTTTTAACAAATAATTTTTGCCAATTATTTAAAAATTCAAACAATCTGATGTAAAATTGAATAAATTTGTAGTTAAAGTTTGTTCTTGTTTTTCAGACCTCATTTGGGAATTTTGTTTTGAAAGATGTAAAAAATAACCATGAAATCTTAGTTTTAACACTTGAGTCTACTTAAGAATAAAAAACTTTGTATGAAAAAACATTCCAACATTCAAATACATGTGTAATGTAATATTAATGTCATATAGAATATCATAAAGAATTATTAATATTGATATAATTTTATAAAAATTGGAGTAGAAATAAAAAAGTAATCATAACACTTCATAAAAAGTTTTTTTTTTAATCTTGGCCCCCACGTCCTGCTTTGTGTCCCCTACTCCCATGTTTTATGGGTCTTTGTCCCTTTTCTTTTGTCTAACCGGGTGAAACGGGCGCAATACTTGGAACCAGCTTGAGAGCGAGGTTAAATTGTGAATATGGTTCTAGCAAAACTCCGATGGCCAACATTTTCATATTTCGAGCAAATATGTAACCTGTTGTTAATAATTTGCTGGTCTTGTCTAGTTTAGTCTGTTTAAATCTAGTCTGATCTGGTATGGTCTGATAAACGTCTGGTCTCTGTGTAGTTTTTATGCTTAATGCATAACTCCAATGTTCATTAAAGATGTATGATCATATAGCTTTAATGCTCAATAGTAATAGAATATTATTAGACATATTTGTTTCCTAGTATGTTTCAAACTCTTTTATTATACTCCCTCCGTCCCATATTTAACTTCGGTTTTGACCGGACACGGGTTTTAAGATAGTGAGATTTGTGTGGTGGAGAGTTGATAGAGTATATCTAGAGAGAAGTGAGAGCTAGAGAGAGAAGTGCAATAATATGCTTCAATAGAATGAATTTGTAACCCCTATAACTACTCCCAAGGGGAGTATTTATAGAGAAAATTAGGGTTGGGCTCCCAAGCCTTGGGCTTGGGAGGCCCACTTACATCTGGACCGCTACTGGGCCGAATACAAAGCCACTAATGGGCTGTACAAATGAGTAAGTATAAAATCCGATTCTGGGAGGTCTTCTTGGCCGACGAGGGCGTGGCCGACGAGGGCACGGCTGACGAGGGCACCCGGGTTCCTTGGACTCAGGACCATAATCCGAGTTGGCTCCTCTTCGGCCGACGGGGGCGTCTTGGCCGACGAGGGCGCCACTATGTTGTCTTGTGCTTTCTGTTCTTCCGAGTATGTGGGTCCTGGGGCTCAGACCCATATACTCCATCAGGAGTCCCCCACTCTCTAAGCTGAGATGTAGACGAAGTGAAGGAGAGTAGATTCCTGTGCTTTGTTGCCCTTGGCCGATGCGGGCATCCCCGGGCCGTTAGCCGTTGCGGCGTTGGCGTTGTCTCCTCTTTGGTGATCCTGTTCTGTGCTTTGGCCGTTACCTGTTCCTCGCTGTGGGCGGGGAGGCCGTTGTTTCCTTAATGTGTTTGAGGATGATGACTGTCTTGTTTCAATGTCGGCCGTTGAAGGCGCGCTTTCCCTTTCCTGGACGTTGGTGGTTGAAGTTTATGTTTGGGCCGGTGAGGCCGTTGAGGTTGTTCCTTGCTTTGAGGACGATGGCGTCCTTTCCTTTGGGTGGCCGATGAGGGTGCTCGCGCACTCCTTTTGGCCGTTGCTGGTTGGCCTTCGTGTTCTTGGCCGAAGGGCCCATCAAGATTAATTGTTGGCGGAGGACGATGAGTGTCCTTGCCTCTAGTGGCTTGTTGGCCGTCACTAATGACATTATGGGCCTTTGGCCGATGAGGTTCCGTTGTGCTGTGTGGATGATGTGGCCATGTTTTGTGGTTACCTTGTTTATATTCTCTTTGTTTTTTCGAG